TAAGTAAAGACCCTGAACTGCGCGAAAGATACGCAGACACAATTAGAGAGGACATTAGGAAAAGCTATGTCGTTACCGCCGAACCGCATGATCCACGTAAGCGTTCCGCTTGCGAGTGGTGTCTTCCGCACCATCCGGTCGTAAAACCGAAAAAGCCGGGTAAGGTGCGCCGAGCCCTTAATGGGGCTTCTAAGTTTCACAGTACGTCCTTAAATAAGTCCTTATGGGTGGGTCCGGACCTACTCCAAAATTTAATTTTTGTATTTTTGCGGTTCCGTCAACACAAGTACGCCATCTCCGCGGATATAGAGGGTATGTTCCTCCAGGTAGGAGTCCTCACCCGCGATCAAATTTCGCTCCGTTTTTTGTGGCGGGAAGATACCACTTCCGATGTGGTAGTTCACCAGTACACTCGCCACATATTCGGAACACGGGATTCGCCTACGTGCGCCAATTTTGCAATGCGAAAAACAGCAACTGATAGTATGTCCACATACCTGAGGCCGCCTCAGTCGTAAACGAAAACTTTTACATGGACGATTACTTGGACTCGTTCGAGAACGTTACCCATGCAATTAAAATTAACCGCGATTTGGTTTCATTACTAAAATTGGGAGGATTTAATTTGACTAAATTTATCAGTAATGCTGATGAAATTACTTCAGCAATGAACCCCGAGGATTGCGAAACGTCGTCTTCAACCATCAAGGAAATATGTAACGGTGCCGAACAATCATCACACGTCTTAGGTCCTAAGTGGGACCATGTCAAAGACACATTGGTTGTTAGCAGAGGCGTGGATCGTCCTCTCGATAAGGCAATAACTCAACGAACCGTCTTGAGTTTCGTCTCTTCTGTGTTTGACCCTGTTGGATTAGTAGCTCCATACACAGTTAGGGCCCGTCTTTTGCTTAAAGATACTTGAAAAATCAGTGGCCAAATTTGGGACGACGAATTGCCGAAAGACATAAGAGATAAGATTGTCGAGTGGTACTCCGGTCTCCCTCTCTTAGGGCAATTGACTATTCCCTGTTGTTACTTAACAGAACCTGTGGATCAAATTGAGCTCCACAAGCTTGGTGATAGCTCGCAGGACGTTTTCTGTGCGGTTGGATTTTTGCGTGAGCACAAAATTTTTGGATTTTTGAGTTCGCACAAAATTCAAATATCCTTCATCTTTGGTAAAGCTCGCGTTGCGCCCATGAAAGCGCTATCTATACCAAAGCTAGAGCTTCAAGGTGCTCTGCTCCCCACACGACTGAAAGATGATATACTGACCGCCCTTACTGTCTGCATTAATTATGTCTACATATGGACAGATAGTACTACAGATTTGCAGTGGCTAAACTCCACTGAAAAATTACCTGCTTTCGTCGCTAACCGTGTCGGCGAAATCCTCGAATCGACCACTATTGATGAGCGGCACCATGCTCTGAGCGACAATAATCCAGCTGATACCGCTACGCGTGGGATTTCTTCGGAAGCCCTCAAGGATAGCAGCTGGGTTATTGGTCCAAGCATTCTCAGGACTACTGATTGGCCGTTTATACCCGACGAACGTGTGATCAATAAAATTCGTTTGAAGGGTCTTTCTTGTTATTTTGATAATTGCTTGGAGACATCATCTTCCTTCGTCACCGATGTCACATCCATCAAACATCCCGAACATGGGTTCAATTGGGAAAGGTTCATTTCTTTTACGAGATATAAAAGAGTAGTCGCTTTTATGTTGAGGATGCTGCCTTTACATAAGCATTTTCGCGGTAAGGACTTACGAATCACCGACCCCACTGAACTTGGTTTTGCCGAAAGCAAACTGATTCATCTTGTTCAGATGGAATCCTTCCCCGTTGAGTTGAAAACACTCACCGCTGGCAAATCTATTAAGAATAGTAGTAAAATGGCCACATACTCGCCATTTATCGGTCCCGCTGGTATCATTCCTTCCACCGGACGGATCGTGCGCTTAGTGAATACCGAGTTTGATACTAGGCACCCAATATTACTCGACGCCCGAAATACCCTAGTTCGTTTGTTGGCCCGCAGCCTCCACCATAAGCATTTTCATCAAGATTTAGATTACAAGCGCTCTAATCATACGGGTGTGGATTACTTTGAACCGCTTTACGTTCCGGTTTGCAGAAGCACTGAAAAAAGATGGGGATTTCTTTTCACTTGCCTCACCACCAGGGCTGTACACCTTGAGATTGTACCATCTCTGGACACTAGTTCTTGTGTCATGGGCATTGAACGGTTCATTGCGCGTCGTGGTACACCAAGCACGATCTGATCGGACAACGGCACGAACTTCTTTGGTGCAGAAAAAGAATTAGTTGCCTGCATCAAGAGCTGGAATGGTATGGCTCCGACCATTTTTACACACAAAGGTGTAACTTGGAAATTTAACCCGCCAGGCCCACCCCATCATGGCGGCTCGTGGGAGCGCCTCGTCCGAAACGTGAAGCGCGTGCTTTACGATATACAAGGCAGTAGACGAGTCACCGAAGATGTGTTAGGAACAACACTCTGCTCAGTTGAGCAGGCTTTGATTTCGAGGCCAATCACTCCCGTTAGTACTGATTCACGTGAGTTAGAAGCGAGCGCAGTCATATGCTAACGCGATTTGTTCTCGTTGGCTTCGAGAATATGTTCCCTCACTGAATAAGCGTGTCAAGTGGGACACTCATTCTGACTCCACTCTTAAGACAGGCAATCTCGTTTGGGTGATTGAGCCCGATAGTCCGCGTGAGTACTACCCTCTCGCCCGAATCGTCAAGCTAAACTACGGACAGGACGGTTGCGCCCGATCCGCCCTTGTTAAGACCGCACCCGTGAAGTCACTCGGCTGACCGTTAAGCTCGCTCCGGTTCTTCCTTCTTCAGGCGGGGAGAGGATGTTGCAACGCAAATGTAAAACAAAGTATAGATACATATAAAACAAGAGTTTAAATGCATAAAAAAAGAACAGTTGGCCGAGCGGCCTAAGCTAAAGTAACGTAACGCCGACTATAGAGACATGACAGTTGACGTAGGTTCGATTCCCCCACCTGCTCATGTAGTAATATACTAAAAAAAGGGGCTATATCCTATTTTAACTGTTTTTGGTTCTAATTCGGTTCAGCCTTGATTAAGGCTGACCGCCAAAAAGAGCAATTTCTCTCAAAGAAATTACCGACCGGTTCTTGTGGGTAGCTTTCGCCAATATTTTTATTGGAGCAGACTTTTGGTGAAGTTATGAACTTGTTTTACAGCAAATTTTGGATGATATTATCAATATTGCCGATCAATTTTGTATTGCCGAGAATATGAAATTATTATTGATTTTTCGGTTTTAAATTCATCCTACGGAGATTTAGCGAGCACAGTTTTAGATGTTTCTTTCAGCGCTTTTTTAAGAAAAAGGTTTTCTTAGAATAATTAAAACTATTGTATAAAAAACAAGGATAGCTGATTCTGTTCAAGTAGCACAGAATGTTCCGACTACACTCTCAAAAAAAATTTCAACTTTAGTGTCTTATGTTGTACGTCGTGGGATGATAGAGTTACTTAAACGCGTTTAAATTTAATGAATTAGGTATAAACGGCTACAATTATCGTCAAAAAAAGAAATGAACAAAAGAGATGAAAGTTTGTTTAAAAAAACGTTGATTTTTTTTTCAATTTTTTGCACTAATTTTTGTACTATTTTTTTAACTAAAAACTGTTTAGAGCATCCAAAATTATGAATTTTCATGGTGAAATTAATCTTTTTAAGCCTTTAATGGTATTTTTCATACATAACGAACGTTATTCGATTGCTTTACTTGCTCGAATTTAGACTATAAAAAATGTTAAGCCTGATTTTCTCGACACTAAAACTTTTTGTAATTTTTAGTCACGACTGAAAGGGTTTTAAAATGATAGGTTACTCAACCCGGTTCAATAAAAGTTTGTGGTTCTTGATTTTGCATGGAAAACAAAACAAAACAAGGATAGCCGGTTACTGAGCAATAGCAGAGAATGTTCCGACCACAGTCTTAAAAAATACAATTTTTTTTTTAAATTAGCTTCGTTTTTTTCTGCATATTTTGATAAAAAGATCTGAAGTAAAAATAGAATGTAGGCATATCTGAGAGTCATAGTAAAATAGGTCCATTGGAAAACAGTTTTTGAAAAAAAATTACTAGAAAAACGAAAATTATTTAAATTTTCAAGTTTTTATTACCCAAAATTGCGCTAAAAACTCCAATAACTTCATTTACTTGAAAATAAACTAAGAATTTACGGTAAACCAAAAATCAAAATTTTGAACCGGTTTTTCGACACTGTGAAAAAAATTCTAAAATTTTATATGTAGTTCGAATCACGACTAAAAAGGCTTTAGCATGATATATCACTCGACAGTTTCCGATGATTATTTGTTGCACCTGATTTTGCGTGGAAAAAAAACTGGAACACCAACTTTTCTCCCCATTTTCAATGGTCGGAATAAACACTAAAACACACCAGAATACAAAATTTTTCCTCAATTTCAACGGTCGGAACGATAAGAAAAAAATTTTAGAATTAGTTTGGTATTCAATTTTTGAAACAAATTTTGTCGATCATTCCTAATTCACCTATTCTCTATGCGATCGTATAGTTTTGGATTCCCACAGCCCACTTAAAACGACAATTAGAAGAAATTTTTCAAAAATCTTCTTTTTATAGGAATATGGTCGGAAAATTCTGTGCTACTTGCACCGCAACCGGCTATCCTTGTGTTTAATAGCTTTCACCCCAATCATCAAATATTTCGACCCAAAGGTAGAAGTACTATATATTCCCCTGAAGGCCCCTCATCTATTCAGCTTGACGCTGGAAACTAGAATCCTGTTTTGCAGTTCTGCCAATAATTTATATGAAAAAAAATAACACACGTGGATCTGAACAGAAAAAATCTGCTAAATCTGGTGGTACGTAGTACAACCCAGCAATAATACAAATCAGCTAAAACTAGTTACATAATTATTCAATACTTACGAAACAATTACGGAAATTTAGCAAACTTCAAGGCAATGACATATTTTTTCAAAAATTATTTCATCTGACAATTTTGTTTCAGTTATTTTTAGATAATTATATTAGCACTTTGAAAATCTAAAAAAAAGATAAATAAGGAAATAATTAATTTTCAGAAGATGTCATCAGTTATATAATCAGACCCCGGGATTAGAGGGAAAACTTGGAAAAGTAGAGGAAATCAAGGGCCCGGAAGAAAAGCTGTAATTCAAGAAGCAAACTATAAACTATGAGATGGCGGATGGGGAAGTAGAGTGGGTTATCTCTTGATGTAATAATATCTTTAATGTCAAAGTGATAAAAGTTAAAACGCCAAGGATATATCTAGTCTGAATTTAGAAGAACCATAAACTACGTCTAAGTCTAAGGTTAAAACTGATACTTACACAACTGACTTGAGTGATGCTTTTGGAACCTTGGGTCAGATTGGAATGTGTTGAAAGATAAGTGGTGAATTGGATTGATTTTATTTTCTCTCCTGTTTTTTAGCAACGGATAGAGCCATCATCCGATGGTTGTAGACACTGGCATAGGCACTTGCAAAATCAATAATAAAAGTAAACTAAATGATAACCTATTCAAATCTAAATATGAAAAACAAACTTGGAACTCCCCTGGGCAGATAAGCGCTGTGGTATCGATCACTAACAACAAGTGTACCATAAACCAATTTTATATATTTTTATGGTAATCAGAAAGTAAACAGCGTAAATTACTAACCAGAAGAGATTTGAACCAAAACATAGGAGTAAGAATAATTTAAGAAATTTACGAATAACTTGAGATCTTAAATTTTGGAAGACTCAATTGTTTTAGTCGCGTCAGTCAATCCATTCTCTACGCATCGCTTTACCTCTTAACTGCAGCTATCCGTCGAAGCTCTTCCAACATCATCGGTTGTCATGGTATAGTTTCATTGTCAATCCTTTCTCCCGAAGTATGGGGGTCAGCCGATTTTGAATTCAAAGATTGGTCCAAAAGGGCTGAACTCCGTTGTCAGAACCAGATAAGCAAACCATACTTGCTTTGGGCGATAGTTTTGGGCTACTTAAATCAAGAAAACAACGCGACTTATCTGAGGGTCATTGTGTGGCTGGTTTTCATTAGCTGATATGGCAGTATTCGTCGTTTTGTATTGTTTGTTTTTGAGTGATTGACTTCTATCATTTGATCTGCTGAATTGATAGTCACAAGTATGTATCCTGATGATAAAATGTCGAACTCTATCGAGCATGTAAGCATTCTTTCTCCTAAAAGGTTAGGAGGCTGGCCGATACTCGACGCTTTAAGTTCAACCAAACTTGTTCGAAAGTTGAAACTCTATCTAACTCGACAGTTTGTCATCAGAGGCATAGCTGTATCACTTAGAGACGGGTGTCGAAAATTCCTTCAATTTCTCAGGATTCTCTGTCGATTCCTTTTCTCGAAGTGACATGCCTCGTAATGATAAAAATTCGAAACCAGTCCAGCTTGTTATATTTTTTTACTTACAGGTTTAGGAGGTTTGCCCAATCCAAACCCCACACCAAAACTTGAATGCAAATCATGTTAAAAAAAATAAAGTACTGCTTTCTTCTTACAAGATTTGTTCAAAAGTTACTTTCATTTTGCTAAATTCTTGCAAAGGTTTGCATTTCATTTGCAAGAATAGGCTAAACATTTAGCATTCTACTTCTATATTCTTCTAACATTTGATAAATGTTTTCTGTGATTTGAAAAATGTGGAGGAACTTTGTATTCGGGTGTGTTTTAGTTTTTTGTGCATTTTTTTTATTTCCACGCAAAATTAGGTACCAAAATTAATCTTTGGACTGTATTGAGCAATATATCATATTGAGACTCTTTTAGTCCTGATTCGAAGGACATTATAACATTCAAAAAAAAATCCCAGTGACGAGAAAAATTGGTTTGAAGTTTTTGATTTTTTATTATTTCGATTTGATAAGGTGAGCTTCCAGAAATACAATAGCTTATTTATGCTTATTTTAAGACGTGGACGCTGAATTTTACTCCAGCACATTAGTTTTTGGAGTTCTTTTAGGCTGAAAACTTTAGAAAAGATTTTTGGAAAAACATTTAATAAACATTTTGAATATTTTTTGAAACATTATACGATTTTTTTTGTTTTTCCATTCATTTTTCTTCATAAACATTTTTCCATTTGGCCTAATTCTTTATGACTACTGAAAATTTGTAGGTTCTTTTTATCGCACCACACAGAAAAAAAAGACAGTCTTTTGCAGATTCTTAATTTGTATTTTCTATGATCATTTTGTGCTACTTGCACAGTAATCGGCTCTCCTTGTCTGTTTTTGATATTTTCAGTGCTATTGTCGTTTCGATTAGTCTCTAGCATGTACCTAGCAAAATCACACTGTGGAGATTGCGTGAGTATTTTTCTCCTAAGGCGAAAAAAAAAACATACTACAAAAACCATATTCTTTGAGGTTTATTTGCATAACTATTCCAAAAACTTTTCGTTCAATTATTGGAATATTTTTACAGCTGAATACAGTGCTGATTCAAATTAACCGGACAAAACGCGTTTAACTTGAAATTTAAAACCCATTTTTCTCAAATGGGTTGAGTTTAGGTGAAAACTTCTGAAGACAAAACTTGCTTAAAATTTTAACAGAATTAATATGAAATAATTTGTTTTGCGAAGTTCAGGCCCAAAATTTTACCGGGTCATTTTGGCGTTTCTTAGTTAATCAAAAATTACGCCGAAAATACCCAGTCGTTCACAGACATAATTATATCAAAGCGAGCCCCTTACGTAGCCCAACAAACTTTAAGAAGAGTATATTCTCCAAGAAAAATTTGCAAATTAATTAAAAATTGTTTTTAAGTAAAAAGTTGGTATTTTATATAGTAAAAACGGCCTTTTTTGGCTATCAAGCAAAAATAAATTATTTATACAATATTTTGGAGATAATACCCTTCTTAAAGTTTGTTGGAGTACGTAAGGGGCTCACTTTGATACAATTATGTCTGTGATCGACTGGGTATTTTCGGCGTAATTTTTGATTAACTAAGAAACGCCAAAATGACCCATTTTTGGGGTAAAATTTTGGGCCCGATTTTCGCAAAACCAATTACACCATATTAATTCTGCCAAAATTTTAAGCAAGTTTTGGCTTTATGAGTTTTCACCTAAACTCAACCCAATTTGAGCAAAATGAGTTTTAAATTTCAAGTTTAACGCGTTTTGTCCGGTTAATTTATATCAGCACTATGAAAAAAATTGTGAGCAAAAAAAAACACAATTTTTGAAGTTCATTTTCCAGCAAAACACATATTAAAAATCTTCAAACAAGTTTCTGCCTGTCTAAAGGTGTGAAAACTTTGAAAGAAGCTAACAAGATTTTTAAAATATTCACATCCACAAATTACGAGCGCTAAAAACAAGATTGATTGATTCAAAGAGTTTCCCGTTTATTCAGCTGGTCTAGACTTTGTTTAAAATTTTCCACAGCCGAACTGAAAATGCATATCTTATGATTCATTTCATCAATTAGAAATTTTTTGTGTTATTCGATATAATTTACCGCAAAAAATTCTAATCATAAATTGGCAAAAAATCTTCTTTCTCTTAGAGGAGAACAAATCTCGAAAATGTTTCAAAATGTTACAAAAATCTTCAAAAATCCACCGGCTCAAAAAATCACTGCGAAAAACAAAAGTTGACCTCTGTTGATTTGGAAACCTGGTGATTAAAATGTTTTCAGCAAAAAATAAATTAAGGGTTTGGCCGCTGTAAGGTTTTGGAGTAGCTCCAAGAGGAAACCTGATCGACTTTAAAACATTCCGGAACTTCCCAGGTTCTTACATGCATCCCCTTTTGCGTAATTTTTTGCCTACTTTGAAGCAAAACTTTAGCGGGTGGAGCGTTTTTTTTTTAAGGTTGCACCTAAAATATTGCATCAAATTGAGCGGTTTTTGAGCGGTCAAATTTACGAACTTTTGAGTAAATTTTTGAGCAGAATTTTCACAAAAACCGGTCAAGGTTTGAACGGTTACTGCGCGTTGTTTCCTCTAAACAACTGCGCAAGAATCGAAAAGTTTCTATAGCCTGAACTGAAAAGAACACCCTAAACTAGGTACCACGAGTCGAGATACTTCACGTAACATGAAGCAAGACTTGATCGGTTTGAACGTTTTTTTTAGACAATTACGTTCAAACTCTTGCTTTGAAATGATCGTTTTGAACTATTTTTGAGCGGTTTCTCACATTTATGTAAGCGCTTGTGGAGCGGTTGGCTTAGAAAAAATCTGTCATAAAGCGCTCAAAAAATTGTCAAAAACCGTTTAACAACCATTTAAATCATTCATTTTGAAGCAAGATTTTGAACGAAACTGTTAAAAAAACGTTCAAACCGCTCAAATCTTGCTTCATATTAGACGAAAATTCTTGATTCGGATGAGGATGCGTTTGCGTCCGTTTTTTGCTGAGTCTGACCTAATTTTCTAGATATCTTTAAGTGAATGACTTTCAATTCATTATTTCAAAATGTATCTATGTGAGGACAGCCGCATTTCACAACCCCTACCCTGTCTTGATTATGTTAATAAATAGATACTCGAAATTCCCTGATACCTGTGAAGCTTTTGCAGTTGAAAAGAAGTGTCACATATTAAATGTACCCAACTTTGTCACAAAGGCAGAGGGAAGGGGAGGTCTATAGTACTTCTATCCGGAACTGAGCGGAATGTCAGCCAGATATCAATTAGGAGGACATATAAAAATATACGAGGTATTTAGATATGCAACACGAAGAATCGGGATGTTCGAAACGAAATTCAGTAGAATGAGAACTCGACGGAAGCGCTGAAAGTCAAATTAGCGAGGAGATAAAATTGAGACAGAAGTTCAAACGATGAAAGAAGACTAGTTAAGATGTAAAAGAGACAAGCTAGCACAGCGGGACTCTATACGTCCTGAAACATCGTGCCAGCGGCTGCACTTCAGATTAGGTTGAAACCGGTGCGAACAAAAGGAGAGCCACGCTGAAATTCCGGAGCAACGCTGAAGCTGAAATCAATGAACATTCGATGCAAATTTAGACCGATAATGGTCATCCGGTCTCAAGCTTCACCTTGGGAAGTCTTTAAAAGATTTGGCATCCAGCTGAATCCACACTACCCGAAAGACGACAAATTTTGAGATTTAAGTAACAAGCTGAAATTTTTTGCAGGATGGACTTGGATATATATTCAAATAGCTGGAAGATCAGAGCAGATGTTGGAAGAGACCTCGTAAGCATGCTGGTACCACAAAGTTTGCTGAAGGTTTCAGGGTAAAAGACCAGAAAACCCAAGAGGAAGACAACACAGATATTGTGGACTAGAGCCTTGGCCTAAATTAAAAAAAGTTGAGTGTTTTTTTTCAAAAAACTTAATTCCATGCAAAACAAGTCTGGAGGGTACCAAAAACATTAGAAAAAAACTAAAATTTAGGACATCTTTTGCAGTTTGAGGAAAATCTACCGGAACAAATAGATGTCGAACAGGGTTAATGACTTAAAATCAATCCTGGCTGAAACTCAACGCTCAATTATAGGCCAGTTCCTCAAAATAAAAACATTCAGTAATGAGTTTTGAGTCCAACTAGGGGATAAACTCAAACCTATCTTTTTGGTCGAGAAAAACTGAGCCGAGATGTTTTAGCACTTTCAATTACTTAAGTGTGAATTCGCAAAACCAGATTGCGAACTGGCAGGCCACTGATTCATGGAATCGTGGGATATCCGCTGAATCAAAAAGCGGCAGCCATTGAAGCCTTAACCGCCGGAGATAGTAATTCAAGTAAAATCATACATTGACTTGGTATGCAGCCTGTATCGAGTACCGTAGAAATGATACATTTTGACCATTTTGACATTTAAAAAGTCATAGAAAAATGTCTGCGACGTGATTCGCAGCGGCAAAAGGGCCATGTTGGAATATTTGAAGAGCAAAACTTTTTTCAAAACTAAAAAAGTTTTGCTCTTCAAAAAGTTTTGCTCTTAAAAAACCTTAAACATATTAATTTCTCAGGTTTTTTTACTTGAGCACAAATTGAATAAAACTCCCCCGAACCTAATAGCTAAATCGATAGTATGTGTACGGTCTCAAT